TCTTTCCCTTTATTATCCCGATCCATATATATGTAAATATGTAGATATATATATATATATATTTATATATATATATATACTTAAATTTGACAATAGTTTCATACAACTTGTATTCCAATATACATACAAAAGCTGTCATAAGTATAGGACTTCTTGACTTTGCACTATGCTGGTTGAATAACAGACTAATTTAATAGTTTTACATTACAGGCACAATCTTACCTTTAATGGGAATTTCAGTTGTAAAATGCTTGATTTCTGTCGAGAATAAAAAACGTAGCAATAAATTTCTGTTACAGGCATACACAATACGTTTCCAGTTTCCAGTGCTCATATAGTCAGAACACAACTAGAATGCTCATGATTATAATACATTTGCATTGAAACAACATGCGATTTATTGTTTTCATTGTGAGCAATGTATCACATATAATTACAATAAGTTAATAAATGCTATTCACAAGGTTGAAAACAAAAATATTATCACACGGACTGGATCGGGGAAAATTCCACCTGCAAACTAAGATAAACAGTAAAACTCGGACAAGTCCAACCTCTTTCACAAAATTGCTGTGTTACTTCATCTTGGCAATTATAGCAGGTCCCGTCTCGATTGCAGAGTCCATTTAAACACGTTTCTTTGCAAGTATGTTCACAATTTGGACCGTGTTTAGATGAATGGCATTCTGTGAAAAAATACTTTTTATTAATTTTTTTAATTAAAAAAAACAAAAAACTTAACCGTGACGTGTTTGGTCATTTTAGTGTCGGCTTGTTTTAAGTATTCAATCTACATTTGCATAGCAGAGACAGTGAAACAATTTTTTTTATTTTTTATTTTTTATTCTTAATATTAACTTCGCTTTTGTTCGTGTGTTGTTGGCTGTCTTACTTTACTAATTAATTTCGGCCATGATTTTGAGACAGCTAACTGACAAACATAAAGTTAAACTATCGAGATAAACGTGGCACATACACATGCTTCCAATGACAACACATGATTTCACTGTGTCAACTCCACGACCCCATCCCGATCTCGAAAAATACATTTTTATTGATTTTTAAAGGGAAATGTAGAAAAATTCATGATAACTTCGCTACATGCCTTTTATTACTTATTTTTAAAAATATCATTTACCTGCGGTGCGTAACATTCTGTTTCATATTTCTATAACAGCGGCTGGGACATTAGAATAGTTATATAGTTCAGGGGCGTTAAAAAATTGTGCGTTTGTAATTTTTTTTTGTTATTGTTTTATTTTTTTATTTTTTTTTTTTGGGGGGGGGGGCAGCTGAGGGAGGGGCTTATTTGGGTCCTTTTAAAATTCGTTAATTGTTAACATTTTTTTCAGATTTTCAGCCCCCCCCCCCCCAACCTAAATGGCTTGTTATTACTTTTTATAAAAGATTTATTAAAAAAAAAACTATTATTTTTTGGATTGCTTAAACTGTGGTTTGGAATTATCGCCCAAGCAGCGGTTCTTAACCTAATGGTGGCAACCCATTTGGGTGTCACACGACTCTTTAACAAGGGTCACACAAGACCATCTGCAAAACATGTGCTTTATAGTTATACAGCATCAATAAAAATAGTTTTGTCGTTTGGTGTCGCCACGACATTAGAAACTGTATTATATGGTCCCGGCATTAGAAAGGTTTAGAACCACTGGGCTAAATAATAACATTTAAATATATAGCTGATACATGTTACGCACCGTTGTCAGGAGGGCGACTTAATTCTCCTTTTTAACGATATGTCTCGTTCCCAAAACAGTTCATGACAAAAGACGATACCAAATGATCAAAACAATAACAAAGAAATACGATGCTCGAAACATGGCGAACTCCAATTTTTAAGGTTGATTAAGTTAACAATAATTACAAAATAAAAAGAATATAATTAAAACCATTGACTTAGAGAGTAATGTTTTGCTTGTATCGATAAAATGTTGTTGATTATACAATGTGCCAACAAAGGTACAATGATGAATAGGAATTCACACATATAAATAAACAAAAAACTCTATCAAGAATAACACACACTAAAAAATAACTCTTGCCTGTCTTCCCGTAAAGTTAAAAATAAATTCTATCCTCTCTGCTTTTCTTACTATTCCCCGGCTTTATATACCAGTATGGCCTCTTCCTATTATGATTCTAGAACATTGTGATCGTCTCTCAAAACTTCCACATAATTCTAAAAGATTCTAAGAACAAACAGATTATTGAATTTATTTAGTTGGTAGTAAACACGGCCAAGAAACTTTGTTTAGCTAGCCCCATGGTAATAGCGATCTTGAGCTTGTTTTGTGTCTGCTAGAGTACATGGCGTAAACACGTCGCCAACACAACATGTAACTTTATTTTGCTTTCAGAAATAAGCGACATCAAAAGTACGTTACAAACTTGTTTTATATCCAGATTGGTGTATCGTTTTCTATGTAAGAAATTTTGTTTACGATGACATAGTTACAATTTTAAGCGACTTAACAAATTTGAATGCTTTATTTCGGGCATAAGAAGGCATTCCGATGAAAGACGCTCATGTTAGCACACACTTATTTTGGGACAAGCAACAACATCGACAAATGCAGACACACACATTCACCTCCAAGAAACTGAACTTCACAAATCAGGAATGACCCGGATGTGACGTTTATCGTCAGTTTGGGAACTTGAGCTCTGTCGAAAGGGACGAAGAGAGGACTTCGGCTACTCTGATTAAAGGTTGCGTTAGAGATTACTGCATCACTTGAAGTCAAAAACACGATGTTGAGTGCAAACGGTTGATCTGTAGTTGCATCTGGTTAAGTAAAAAACATACAAACATTGATATCTGAATATTTTAAATAGGCTTTTGAGACTCTTTCCTTTCATGTTGTAAAACAAGCATTGTAATCTGTACCAATGTTAAGTCAAACTCAGTGGACATGAGGTCATCTCAAGGAAAAATTAAAATATGTTATTTCCAAATATTATTTTTAGCATAAACAAAAAATCTTCAACACAGTCATGATATATTGGTGATGATTTTTATTATTGAATATCCATTTAAACAAATTTTGTAATTGTGAAAAATGTCTTTTTTAAGTAAAATACATTAAAGACCGACTGAATTTGGGTTTCTTTTTCAGCGCCGAAAGTTGACTTTTGATCACTTACAGCTTGGTTTCGGTTTAGGACCAAAGAGGAAAGTTAACGTTCGAAAATAATTTTCGGATTAGATGTTCTTTTAATTATGTTACATAATCATCTCTTAAACAGCAGTTTATATGAAAAAATAACATACAGCTGATACTGATTCCTGAAATTTGTTCATCGCTGGCGGTAGTCATAGTTAAGATAGTTTTCAATATAAAGCATGAGCCAAGGGTCAGGTCATCATCAAACAATTGGTTTACATCTGAAGGTCTAATAGAGCTTAGCGTACCGACTATGTTGTTAAGTCTTACAATCTGACCTAAATTGGGAGAGGAAAAACAAAATGATTCCAATAATAACCTGTTGAAGCACGTCAATATAAATGAATGATTTTAGTGACAAACTATTTTATTGTGTATTTCAAAAATGTGTCCATGCAATCCAGTTAAATTTTATTAATATTCTTAATAGGGTTGAAATATAAAATATTAATAAACAAAATAGGTAACAAGTATAACAAGCAATGATGTCAACAGTTTATTCCTGTAGTTTTTAATTGATAAGTCGGGAAAAACTGCAAAAATGTATTGTCTACAAGGCTTGACCAGACAAGGCTATCTGTTCAACAATCCAGCTCAGCGGTGCACTAATTCTTATACCTTTGTGTTTACAGTGCTGTGCGATACTTATATTCACTTTTTTTTTTAAATTGTATTTGTTAAAGAGTGAAAATCAATGTTTCTTTGATTTTTTATATAAGAAACCGACAATGCTTATAACTAGTTCCATATTAAAGCTCATTATACTATTATATGTATAGTTGTAAAATAACTAGCTACTTTTTTTTTTTTATTATTAAAAACCCTGACGGCCACTCCATAAATTATTTTGTGTTAATGAAAGTATTTCAGAAAACACTGACGTTAAAGCCTGAATTTATTGTTTAAACAAAGCACACACACAGAACATCTTTGGTTCGAAGTCCAATTCCGATGAATGTTAAACCGAATTAATACTTAAGCGTTTTAAACACCTGTGTTTTATTGGAAATTTCTCAACCCCCCTCACACCTACTTTGCCAATCTTCCAACAACGTATCAGGAAAAAAAAAGGAAACTTTAAAAGGTGGTATTTATTTTTAGTATGAGCAACAATTGAAGCCAAACTAAATAAAAAAATATTTTTAAAATTCACTAAAAAAAAAAAACGCTTTAATACCAATAGAAAAATATGCTTGCAAATATTTATCACCAACTTTTAAAATAGTATTTATGTATGTATGTGTGTCTGTTTAAGTCAGTTTCAAAGGTAGTTTGTCGCCTAGTAATTAAAAAAAAAAATCAATGTTTCACCTCCATTTATATTTACAGAACATATCTGTCCAGGCACCGTCCATTCTATGGTGATTGCTGATACGATGGTAATTACAGTGCAGAAGACATCGAAAGTGTTGTACACTGTTTCTGTAATTCTCACATCACCACATTCTTTGTCCTCTGATTCTCCATTCACTACTGTCGTTAATTTAATTTTGGTTATTTTTGGGATTGCTGGAGATAATTTTGAAGAAAAACATAAAAAAGTAGTTAACGCACTCATTGAAAAGGCAATGCGGAAACAAATATTACCTAAATCATGCATACACTATCAAAAGGTGTTTGTAAACATAAAATAAATAACTTATAAAAAATATACTATACCCTTTTATACCATCAATTAAATTAATTTTTTTTTTTTTGGTCTCTTGTTATTTTATAGCTATTTTTTTTTTATTTTAAAAAAATTCTTAACGTCAGTTAAATGCAAGAATGTTACCAGCGTTGTAGTATAAAAATAGTCCTACCTGCCCTATCAAAAACAACCCTCATCCAGGTGAACAGCACTGGGTGGCTCAGCGATATCTCTTGCGTTTCGCTGTCAATACGTACACAGGTTCTGTCGTTGCCGTCTCGAAGTGTTAAATCGAGTGTGGTTGCTGTGGACGCTGCATCCCCTGAGGACAAAGCAACAAAAAATACATTTCTGACTTACTTTAGAATCACTGTCCAAAGACCACAACCCCCCCCCCCACACACACACACTCAAATGCACTTGTTAACCATTGGTGGCCGCACAACGCGAAGATCAATACATGTCATGACTCATTGAACATAAGACACGAGAAAATGCCAACATCGCATTGACACATCCTTGAGATTCAAACTTTCGTTGAGTACTCCGAAACGCACAATGGCACGGATTTTGCACTACTAAAGTAAGTGCAGCCATGGAGAATCACCACTAGCACCAGAAGCAATGAGTTAGAGGTCCAATGCTATTGCAAATAAGACAAGAGACTCACTCTCACCTTTCTTTATTTTCCTTCTTATGTTTCATTATGAGCGAACTTCAAATCTTAAATTCTTAATTTTGCAAATCATGTTCAATAATTTTGTTCCTGTGCCCGATGAATTGTTTGTATATTGCACCACACAAAAAAAAAAATGTCAGAAATAATGTTTGATAATGTTAAATGGCTTAGTCAGTTCAATGTTTAAATGATATCTTTGAACTCTCATCGATTCTACTCACAAAGATTCAACATCTATAGTTTCAACTCTAATCATATGATGTAGAAATCGTTGTGTAAGTATATGTAATATGACGCTTACAATTTATTGTCCGACGATCTAACTTTTTTTTCCTTCCTGTTTTATTAATAATAAAATATGTCTTATGCTTGGCACATAGTACTGACATAGTGTATTCACTTCAACTTTTATTTTCTAAAATATTTTTTCCTAAAGTAAACTTACAGTATTGACACGCTGGGCCAAACCAACCGGCAGTGCAATGAGATCCATTCGTGCACGAACCATTACTGTCACACTTACTGTCGTTGCAGTGACAGATAACGTCACAATTTGTACCCACGTGTCTTTGTGGGCAGGGCTGCCCTAGAATACAAGAGATTTTTTTCTTTAAGTTGCTTGTTTGTCTTAATAAAAACAATGTCAAATTACAAAATTCAAAATTCATATATTTTTTTTAATTTTAGAAGACATTTTTCATGATTACATTTTTGGTCCAATGAGTGCAGGTTATGAGAAATGTTCCCTATAATTCTTGAAAAATATATAACATCAAATCAGTTGCATAGCTAGCGTTGGTATCACCATGTGATGTAAGCTGATGGTGTCACCATCTTTCCCTTTTTTTATCCCGACTTCCCCTATAGGATATCGTCTTGTAAAAATGAGTTCAAAATATAACAATGCCAAAAAATAAAAACAACCAATGGATTGATTCCTTGGGAATGGTGGGGGATGGGTGACGTAAATTTTCCATCCCGACACCTGAGAAAGTCGCTCGTGCACTGTGTGAAAACACAGTGTCGGACCGACCGGGTGTCTTTGGGTTAGGACGGTCCCCGGCGGAGACCTCGTCGAGCAGACTCATGTGGTGGCCGTCCTGACAAAGGGACGTCCCCGACGTGCCGATCCGCGGCCCAGTACTGGGTTAGGGAGGGATGTTTAGGGGAGGACATAAAGAGCGCAAGCTCGACGGCCCTCTGATGCCATTTCTTAATGTAATATTGAAAGTCAAAAGTTATTTAAGAATTGTAAAAACTTTAAGCTATAGTTATTTTAATTTTTCTTTAACTTTTCTTATTGAAAACGCCCCTTTCCTAGTATACACCAAAGCTGCAAATATGTCAATCATGCTTAAATATTAAGTTAAAATTTTTGAGTATTTCTGGGTTTAAATATATTGGGTTTCAAAACTTAATTTCTCTTGTTTTTAAATAATTTAATTAAAATGTTAAACTATAATTGCAACTTTCATTTTTTTTAAAATAGTATTTTGTTAACCCAAAAAATGGGTAAACATTCATTAAAAGAAAAAAAGTGTTTTACATTTTTACAGATTCGAGTCATTTCCTTTTGAATCGCCTTACTACGTCGCATTGACCTTTTAAAATTAGATTGGTTACATGTGTGGATAATTTACTAGTGATCGGCAATCCTTTGCTCAAATTCAGTTATTCGGAGCGGTGTGTGCTCTTTAAATAGGCAATTTTTTTCAATTGGATGTCAACGGTCGGTGTCACACGGTGTGGTCCGCAACCCCGCTCGCCACTAGTTACGCCTCTGTTTTAAATGATAAGTATATATCATCTAAGTGCATTGACAGCAATTATAATTTCACCCTTTGATATTTTGTATAAAACTAAAATCGTCAACTCGTAGAATTGCAACACATTTAATTATGATATGACGTAGACAAATAAATTCATCTAATTTGATTTTTTTTCTTTTACATAATTAATCATGCTATTACATAGAAGAATAAACTAATTTAATTCGAAACTAGAATTAGGAGAAAACAATCATTATTGGAATGTCTTAGGAAAACAAACTTTGGTAGAACGAACTGAACAAGGAGAAAAGACATCAATCACCATGCCGGCATCATCCAAAACTAACAAAAGTTAATTAAAAAAGAACAAGTACAAAAATCAACAAATGCACACGTTTAATTAAAGAACACGTTAAAAACAAAGCTTTTGCTATCGATCATGTTCATTCTGTTTTGTTTGTATTTGTATAATTGTACGCGCTTTATCATTTATCATGAAGCGGATATTTCAAGGGGTAAAGATCTGTTGAAAACATGTTTTATTATTTCTTTGATTTTCCTAATTAAAAATTGTTGTTTTTTGGTTGTTGTTGTTTTTTTTTTAATGCATGCCCCAACACATTAAACATATAAAGCTAGACAATTGATCACCACACCAAAGTGCGCAACCATTGTTCTAATCATTTTTTAGTCACTGTTTTCCTCCCTCCTGAACAAATTCTAAATGGATTTTTTTGTAGTTGAGGGTGGGGTGAAGGGTCTGAAAATTTCACAGTATGTCTGGTCTTTGGCATCGAGTCAATGTGCCTAGTTTCCCATTGATAATATGACGCAAAGTGGGTGAACTAGCTCTCCGAAGATTTTTTGCCTTAGCCTCGGGCAGATTCAAATAAAAAGTTAATGTAAAATAAAGATTTTTTAAAATGAGTTACCAATTGGTGCAGCTTGTACAACTAAATGGGGAAAAAATGAGCGAAAAATGATTGCAGGAAAGCCATTCTGTTGCAATTAAATAATATTAGATATTAGTAAGTATAGTCTGTATGCAACTTTTGTGTAGTATTTTTTGTATTCGTTTTGGTGATGAAATACTTTTATTTATGTAAAGAAGGTGTCATATTGTAATGTAGGCAATAGTGGTATAGGATTGGTATGTATGCAATTGTGGTGTATCATTGTTTTGCATACAATGTTTTTTGTAATAATGTACAAAGCCAACCATGATATACCAATGCCAACAGCAAAGACATGAGCACTTAGGAGCATCCGCAGCAATCAACTTATCACATACAATTTTAAAATCTTTAAAAGATGTACGAAACACTTTAATAATGTGCTGAATATGCCCTCCGTCATTAATGATGAAGCAATTGAATGACTGCATCAGGTCTGAACGAACAAGTCACTCGACGCTGCCAAAATTTTGATCGAGATAGAGATAGCTATCCGCAATCTGTCCAGTGGCAAAGAACCCGGCTCCGACAAGATTCGAGCTGATATCTCTTAAAAAATTTGGATACGTGTTGACAGATAAGATTTTGCGACAATTCCAGATCTTCTGGCAGACAAAAGACTGTACCACATACCCAAAAGATGCATCTATTATCAAAATGTAAAAACACAAAGGAAACCGCATTTCTTGCGACTTTCAAGCGGAATATAACTGTTCTCAGTCGTGGGCAAGATATTTGCCCCAGTCCTTCTCAACCACCCAAAAGAACATCTGGAGCTAAGCCTCCTACAATAAAATGGTTTTTGCTAAGAATGCTGAAAAATCGATATGGAATTTGCAGCCAGGCAGCTCCAACAGAATAGTCAGGAGCAAAATACGGACATATATTCAACATTGTTCGACCTGAACAAAGCTTTTGACATGGTCTATAGAGGTGGCCTGTGGAAGATCATGAAGAAGTAGGGATGCCCAGACAAGCTAAATTAACTTCCTCCGTGAACTGCATAATGCCATGATGGCTCGAGTTCAGGACAACGGTCAGTGAACTCAAGCATTCGCTGTTATAGTATTATGTTTCCTGCAATGTTGTCTGATGCGTTCAAGGACTTCAACATGGGCATGGCAATCCGTTTTCATACCATGGATCATTCTTCAACCATAGAAGCCTTATAGTTAAATCAAATGTAAATCATATCACAATCAATGAGCTTCTTTTAAAGGACGATTGTTTGTCGATGCTTCCACGGAAGTCTCTATGAAGCACAGTGTTGATATCTTCTCTGAGGTCTGCAACAACTTTGTTTTCACAATCAACACAAAGAAGACTGAAGTGATGTATCAGCAAGCCGCAATAAATCCTATTTGGAACCCAGCATCATCATCAGCGGACAGCGTCTAAAAGTGGTGGATACATTGACATACTTTGGCCTAAGCCTCTCCTGATTTGTCATCAACAGAAATTAATGCCAACTCGCAAAAACTAGTGCAATATTTGGTAGACTCGGCAAGACTGTTTGGGACAGGAAAGGTATCAGAAGAGAAACGAAGATCAAGGTCTTTAGCGCAGAAGTGCTCTTAGCATTGCTCTATGGATGTGAAACGTAGACAGACTACCTGCGCCACGCGAAGACACTAAACCACTTTCACACAACATGCCTCATGAATCTCCTCGGCATCAGGTGGCAAGACAAAGTGCCTGACACTGCGGTCATCGCTATAGCGACCCTACCTAGAATCTTCATCACCCTGATGCAGTGTGAACTCTGTTGTGTAGGATTCGTAGCCCGTATGGAAGACAACCGGCTACTAAAGCAATTATTCTTCAGAGAACTCACGATAGACAAGCGCTCTCAAGGGGGTTAAAAAAAAAGCACTACGAAGACTCAATGAAAAGCTTTCAGAATAAACCCTATTGAATAAGGCAGACAGCCCAGAACAGAAACATGAGTAAATCAACTAACAAGAAGAGGGCCCAATCTTATCAAGCCAGAAGGATAGCCAAAGCTGAGACACACAGGCTAGCGAGTAAGAGCAACCTGGGAAAAACCGACTACAGCACATATCCACCGCCCGCATTGAGAAAGATTAATCCGAGAACGATTGGACCAACAGGCCGCAAACGAACTCACCGTGACCCCACCCTCCCCTACAGGATGACTAGACGGTGCTCGTCGATGTTTTTGGACGAACAACATTGTTGCAATATTGTTATTTATGCAATTGTTGTGTAATATTGCTATGTATCCAATCGTGAGGTGATATTGTTGAGTATGCAATAGCAGTGTGATATTTTTATGAATGCAAATTTGGTGTAATATGCAATGTTGTTTTAATATTGTTATGTATGGAAATGTGGTTTAATATTGTTATTTATGCAATTGTGGTGTAATATTGTTATGCATGCAATTCTTTTGTAATGTTTTCCTTTGAAGAACAAATGCTTACCTCCCTTTTTCTTCAAAAATATTTCTTTTTTTAAAACTATAAATTAAAATTCATTTTATCCAGTTCATATATGTATCTATATATATATATATATATATATATATATATTTATATATAAGTATATATATAACGATCAAGCCCAATTAGGTCAGTTCAAATGCAAAATGTCTATAAGGGATGTGGCCAATGTAAGATTACTTGAAATAACCAGTTTTTATGTTACTTTGAAATAACCAGTGCAAATTTAACTTTTGCTGGTTGTTTGACAGCTTGATGGGAAAAAACCTGGCCAAAGTTTGATGTGCCGATGGAAGACTATCGAACAGTTATCATGAACTTCAAGACTAGGGGCAGAAAATGGAAATATGTGCTTTCATAAAGCTAGGGTCAGAACGTAGTCCTATGTACTTTC